CAGATACGTTTTGGCTATGAAGGTTCGCAGATCTTAAGAGCTCTGTGTTTTATATTTTATATGACGAGCTGTTTTTATAATACACTTATTGATAGAATATTTACGAGGTGCGATCGGAAAGTTTCAAGACTGCGCGTATAAAAACCCGTACACTTATCTCAGGTATTAAATTCATCCATCACCCTCGAAGTAGTTCCCCTGGGAGTGAACACAACGACCCCAGTGCCGCTGCCAAGCCTGGAAGCATCCCGGGAAATCTTTCTTTGTCAGCCTGTCAAGAACCATCTGCGATTCTGCCTGAATCTCTTCTATCGTCTCAAATCTCCTTCCCTTTAGCTGAATTTTCAGTATGACGAGCTATTTTTATAATACTCTTATTGATAGAATATTTAGCTTCATGAAAAGTAGGGTTTATCTTATGTTTCCTCCTCAATTTCTGCCCTTTCATACAAATATGGTGTCATGAAAAGTAGGGTTTATTTTATGTTTCGTCCTCATTTTCTGCCCTTTCATACAAATATGGTGTTTCAGTCGCATCAAATACAATGAAAATCCGGCAATTGTTTCAGAATTTATTAAAGGGGCGCAGACATATGCCTGTCTTTCACTAAAATACTAATAACGTAGGCTAAAAATTAGTTGCCTGCCGTAATTGTACCCGGAGCTTAATATTGACAAATGGTTCTTGTTCTGGCAACGTGTATTATGTGCCGAAACATATGGAGCTGATAAGAGATTGATAAGAAGGTAATAATTGTTCTGCCAGCTGTGAAGACAACAGTCGGATTAGGGCAAAAGACAGGTGGTACTGTTGATTGGAAAACAGTTGATTTTGTATTGTTTTTCGAGCAGTTTCCGGCTTGGCGTAGGGTAACTTTTGGCTTGTCATCAGTTCCTGTGTGTGCTAGAAAATCATCAATTCCATCAAGGTCTTAACCATCTATCATCCCTCACTAGCCTCTAAACTTTAAAGATAATTAAACTTCATTACACAAATCAGTGAGAAGGGAATTTTGTTGCAACTGGTTTGGGTCGTGGTGTCCCACCCTAAAGAATGAACATGCATAAGTGACGCATATTATCATCGCCGACATTTTGATCGGCGTTTCAGCGGTTTTAGTCCAATGACACTATTTTATGTCAACATTTTTCCTGGTTTTTGCTGTGTATTTCTTGCTGACTGAGGCCTTTTAAACTTCTAATACAGTAACAGACATTTAGCTAAAACACCCCACCTGTTATAACAACCTTGGTTGACGTATGAGTGTCTCGGACTTCATACTGTTTCGGTTACGAGAAAGAATACCTAGAATTAAGATAACAAAGTAAGGTCCTGTTCTTCAAGAAGGTTTCACAACAATAGACCCGGCTCCCAAAACACAATCAGCTGTAGGGTCTTCTGCATGCAATGTCATACAGAGTTGGGAGCGGTGTGAACGTAAAGTTCCAGGATTTGTTTAGTTTGTGTCCATATATTCCGTCTTAATTACAGAATAAATGAAATCACAACAGCGTACTCATTCTTTACTTGCCGCAGGATGAAAATTCGATGTCTTCAGATTTTTTGTTGCTGAGTCCCACACGATCTATTAAATGATCTTGTGCTGGTCTCAGGAGACTGTTTTACTTAATATTGTTTGAATAACTGATATTCATGTTGTTCACGGTACGCGTGCCACAGGTTAAAGACTCCTGATTCTCTAATGTTGTGATTGAACTTCACATCTGTGATTTCCTTTATAATACTGTCACCCGTCTTCGGACAAGATGTTGAGTGCCGTACCCTGGATACACTGCTCCCGTAACTTTATGATCGCACTTTTCATACTCTGAGCGACCTCGTACTTCCGTCCTCCAGCCTCCCTCCAGTTTTCAGATTTCGCAGTGCAGGTGGGTCTCCCGCTGTTTCCGCCTACAGTGAACACACGTTATGCAAGACAAATGGTGATGAGGGTGTTTTAGGTACGACTGTCACAATTTCCGGTTCTGTGTGCAATGCTAGGAACTTCCGTGACTGTGGAATTATTCAAGCAGATACGGTCCGGGCTCCGTCTATATAGGACTATACCTTCCTTTCGTTTCTGTAATGTGAACCTCCTATTTACATTCAAACTGGATATGATTCAGCCTTCATCTTGCATGATTTAATTTCGGTTATTAATTAATAAAAATGTTTGGCAAACACTTTCAATTCAGAAATGAGAACTTTTGAAGATTGTTAGCTGCGCCAACAAAATTGGAGAAATTATTTGGAGCGAATGAAAAGAGACCGCCTTCTGCAGTTGACTTTCGGTTACAGACCGAAGGAACGACGAGAATTAGGACGACCAAAACGACGATGGAGAGACTAAACCCACCATACCACAAGGCGCAACAACCCAGAAGAAAGTCATCTTCATTTTGATAACATTTTCTGTTTAGAATGGTGTGAAAAATAGAATGCTTAATTGCCATTACTTTGCGTTGGAATCCACTAACTGAGAGGTCCAAGGACATCAGTTAGTAAAGGAACTAATAAGACACATCTTCTGGGTCTGTAGTGAAATCACGAACTCTATAAAAGCAAAAGACTAAATATAGCCATGTCTTATGTCTCGTCATCAGAATACAGTACAAAATCCTAGTCATACATTCTGAAAACTCAGAGCAGAGGTTAGTGTTAAAACGGATATTAAAGAATCTATACTGAACTGAACCCATCTGGCTCAGAATAGGTTCCAGTGGCGGGGTCTTGTGAACAAGGTAATGGACCTTGTGCTGACATTAAAGGTGGGGAGTTTTTTAATCCCTCAACCAACTCTATCACCTCCTTTTGAAGGCCACGTATCCATGGAGTTATTTATCTGATTACTGCGGGATAGTCTGAAACTTTTCGAGAGCGATATTCAACATACCTCGAAATTATATGATTTTGTTGGACCCGTCGACATTGAAGTGTGACGTGGTGTTAATTTTGTTGCATTTAGGGCGAGTCGACCGCATTTCCAAACTGACTGTACTTCCTGTGAAGTACAATGCAGTATGTCTGGTTACCGAGGTATGACAACGAAATCAGTAGCGTGGCCTCTGCAGGGCCTTCCTCTTCAGCAAAACAGCGCTCTTGTTATGGTGCCGTATTACAACTTTGTGAATAAGTTATATTAAAAACATTTGAAGAATCTTAAAAGTGTAAACCATTTGAGACATTTAGACCTAGACGTGGATGGTAGGATAGCATTGAAATATATCATGGTGTGGTGTCGATTGATTCGATTTCGATTGAAGATATCGTGGAATGGCTGGCTTTTTCGAACTCTGAAAGGAACATTTGGGTTTAATATAAGTGGGTCATTTCTTAAAGCAACTAAATGACTATCAACTTTTTCTGTTATGCTTCCCTCCTTCATTGTCTTTTCCGTCAAGGATTCTTACTGATTTCTCTCATGTTTTGGTTTCAAAATAAATTCGTCGGCTTTAAAAGTCTGATTTTTAAATTGAATTGTCTTACCAACACACTACTACAGAACGCTCACCAAAAGATTTTCAGCCCTAATTCGGCAGTGTACCTCTGCACAAAGTGAACGCATGAAGGGAAGGTGTTCAGCTCCCCATCGGCTTCTCTCTTCGCATGTGTCTTATTTAAATGTGGATCTACTGAACGGATTCTGATTAAACTCTAGTGAAGTCTGATGGAAGAAGAAAGAAAGATATAATGTGTATTTCTTTTCCTTGTTTTATTACTGTACCATTTTTATTACCCAAATATACACAGCACATTCTTCGTGTTTGCTTCCTTGAGAACATTGAAGGCTTCGGTGTTTCGGGTCTTTGTACTTCGGTTTTTCTCAGGCTTATTCCACTTCTGGTAAGGCAAATGCTTGGAATTCCTACGTAATGATTTCGCATTTCTCATAAAGACTTGATTTTAGGGGTCGATATGAAGGAATATGCACGTCTGCATCTACTGAGAAGTGTTGTTGGTGATTTATTGCAGGCATAGTATAGGGACCGTTTTATGAATTGGACGTTCGTGCTAGATTTTATCCAGTGGTTCTTCTAAAGGCGTCCGAAATACTTTCTGAATTGACCTATGTTCTGCACTGGTTGGCAATATAATGAAAATATTCTGCGTGTCATCCGTTGGACATGGATTGTGGTCTTCTGGGTTAATCACCTACATAATTCAGACGACAATAATTCACTCTAACCGCCGCGAATACCTCAAATAAAACATTCTCTTCGATACCTTTATCATATTTTGCTTTGTCGGGTTACGTACATTATTTGAAGTTATATACAATGTCCCAAAAAGGTGTATATGCGATTTTGACGTATGTAATGGTTGTGTGTCCATCTTTTTGGGACACTTTATAAATAAATACAGAATTAGGATAGTTTAGATCGCCCAGTGACGAGGATTCGGGGTAGGCGACCAGGGTTCAGTTAACGGCAAGTGCCTAGTGGGTACTCCTTCCGGGGTAAAGCGGCTGGGACGTGAAGCTGACCACGCGTCTTCAGCTAATGCCGAGGTGTGGAACTGTATCTTCACTCTCCGGATGGCTTTATCTAAGTCCTTGGTGAGAAGTCTTTCAGGAAAAATGTGTAGTTACTGAGCTGGTGAAAGTCACCCCACCTGTTTGGAACTTGAAGGTGTCTGTTTTGTTCTGCCCATCACAGAAATTATGCTGAGCATCTTCACACCATTTCATATTTTTCTAAGATTCACTCAGTTCAGGACGGTCCACTGGAAGGGAAGCCAAACTCGAGAGATGTACGTAATAGATTCTTCTGGAATATTTTTAATATTACAATTTTTTCGAAGGAACACATCGCCTACATCTTCAGGGCAGAAGTGTTGGTAACCACTCGGAAGATGACACCGCGTACCAACGCGTAAGACCAGGAACGTGTTGATGTTGGTGTCGTCATACGAGATGAGCCGTGATTGGTCACTGAGGAGTGACGTAACTTATCGTAACTCCCACCCAGTACTACAGCACGCGGGTCGAACGACTAGTGCTGTATATCGCGTTAGTGTATGTTTTGCGTTTGAGCAACGTTGAGGTTTGTTGTGGAGCGTGTGTTTGCGCGAGAGGCTTCCACGTGCCTCGTGGCTTGTTGCGCTAGTGTTTACATTAGTGCAGCACAGCAAATTGTGTTTATATCGGCAGGACACTAGCAGAAATTTAAATACAGGTTTGTCTAATTTTATATACTGCTTTGTATGGAAGGTTAAATATGTGAAGGAGAGACATAAAAGCGGTACAGAATTTTTATACCGAATTAGCTGTCGATAACGCATTAAGACTAGTATTCTGGAAGTATCATGTTCCACTCTTATCGTCCACCCTATGTCTCTTGGTGTTGATAGTGTACCTTAAAAACACACGACTATATTCTTCCAAAGAACTTTACTCTGCTGGTGACCATTCATTTGTCCCCTTTTGGGAGGCTGCGACAAAACCAATTTCATCTGTAATTAGTAAAATTAATTATGTTTTAGAGTAAATAATGTTATTTTTGTGTTGGGTTTATTACTATAAATAGAACAAACCATTTTCAACATTCTGTAATAAGTACTAAATTCGGATTTGGAAGTTTATATTAATACGCTTGACTACGAGAGAGTAGGAATATTTATTTGATGTTTTTACAACAAATCTCTGTTAGTAAATGATGTAACTACGTTGAAGTATCATGCGAAGAAAGAATGACAGACACATCAGTAAATTGTTCCCGTATTGTGAAGGTGTAAAATCATATCTTAGCCTCTTTTGACATTGTACAAACTCGTAAGTTGTTATACAAAATTTAAATTTGAAACAACGTCGTTGAATAGTGAAAGAATAAATCCTTCAAGATTATACTATGGTACGTCTGAAAGTTATAAATTGCTTGGGCAACATGTTTATGATTTGCCTAAATATATGCACTTCTATTGAGCGAAGATTTGTATGCCCATTTATTACATAAAAATAATACGAAGTGGCATTATGTGTATCACTTCCTCATTTGATGGATTCTGATGAACCATTGCCATGCTTGGACAATTCCGTTGGATTTTATTTCGCCATAGGTGTTATCAACGATAAGGATGGTGTAGCGGTAACACTCATGAAATGTATTCGAGAGAGATCCATTTCGAATCTCGGTAGGGTTTCTGGCAGTTATTTTTTTGTTTTGCTTAGTCAACAGGAAATTTACGGGCTAGTGGGCCAACCTTCAGGTGACCACAAGACCGTCTTCATCATAATCCGTATCTACTCACAAGCCATATCATTTTTCTGTCTCATTAGACGCTACAGGCCTGTAATATATTCAGTTGGATTATTGTTAAATGACTTAAGAATCCCCCTGTTCTGAAGAAATAAATGTTTCCAAATTGCAACAAATGCGTGTAGTCTCTTTGAACAATCGCGGATTACTGTAAATAGTGCTAATTTTATTTATGCCTTAGACAACATTTGGATTATGTCTAATTTAAATTTACGTTTTATTATACAGAATTGTGTGCTACAATATAAATTATAGTTCGCCTGCACTTTCCTGACCGAGAACAGTTTATTATTTATTCACTGTAACGAATAATGATGGTGGATCTGCTATTGGTAGACTCAAAGAACATTAAGCGTGCAAATATTCTATCAGTCAAGTTACTTTACCAGCAAGCCTTGCTGAGACGCAAATAATGAAGTACCGGATGTGGGCATATGCGTGTTTTATTAATTTATATTAACCATTGGGAATGCCTTGGTTAATCCTACCACACAGCCAGTATATCAGTTCTTTTGCTCTTTAGGATTCAGTGTGTAGTAGGACTGCTAGGTGTTGCATCTTCAATTGTGAAGGTTACAAATACTGCTGTTGCATGAGATCAAAAGGGGGTTATAACGTTTCCCGTCCAATCAGTTTTGACTCTCGAAGTGTGAATTTAGATGATATTCGACTTCGAAATCATTATTAGTAATCTACCAATCTGCCGAATGTTACCTTGATATTATTTATATATTTTTGGTTAAATACTAAATAGCGTGGTAATGTTTGTAACAATTCGGTAGACCGTTTACTGATGAGTTTAAACGTCGACTGTAATCCGCTGGTTATTTGTTCACTGCTGCCAACACGCTAAACGTGCAAATTTCAAACACAGAAAAAGGTAAATCGAGGCTAAAAGTAGATTGAGAAGGCTTATTTTCTTTTCCCGTGACATCTGCTGTGTATATGCAATGCGACTTAAATCGATTGGACATCAGGTGTAAGGTAGGATGATGGCAGGGTCTTTGACAGTACACTTGTACTGTAATGTAAATAAATGGAGTGGGCGTCAAAGAGACTTGCCCTACGACCATTAGCTGATCTTTTGTGATTCCTCGTTCTTTTAATCAGCCAGTAGCTCCGTGTCTACAACAAAGCGTAGTATCTACTTAGCGAGATTTCATAATAATCGCCTGGTTCAACTGAAGATTGCGTGCCAATTTATTCTGTAAAATAAAAACGTGTCACGTGCCAAAACACTCGCCTAGAAAAGTATAATTCTGCTTTTAAACTTCCATAATTCGATAGAATTATTTGCCTTTCTTTCGATACAGTTGACTGTCCCGGGAGCTTGCTTCAAGTGTTCAAACTTTCTCACGTGTTAACAGCGGAGAGACTTGTCCCCGTTTTGCACGGGGCCCTCTTAGTGTCCCACTGCTGGTGACCTGTGCAGCGTGTCCCTCTCTGGGTCCTGTGACTGCAGACTTTATTCTCAGCCCACATGCGATGTCTCACCGTCGGTGAATGAGTGGCGTAGTATCGGACTTGTGAAATCGACTGAATCACCCATAACTTCTTACCTCAGCCTGGCTCTCGAGTGCAATAATTCAGAATTGTTATCTTGGGAGCACTTTGGGTGGGCATTCAGTGTTCTAGAACAGTGGTATTCAACCTTTCTTGTTAGCGTACCCCCAGATATAATTTCTTTTCAACTTTGTACCCCCAAAGTTGTTGGTGTATAATTCAAGTTATACATAGTATATAATCTACATCTAAAATAAATTAAATGAATTACATCTAAAATAATGTATTAAATCTGGCCCTGATTATTCAGTGCTTATCATAAAATAATATTTTTTTTTAAATTTCACATACCCCCTAAGATGTGTTCGCGTACCCCCGGGGGTACGCGTACCCCAGGTTGAATACCACTATTGTTCATCGATATTCCATTTCGTATATCTTTTTAAGACAAGGCGATATCTTATGCTTGTCTCTTGCACCTTCCGTGCAGGATGAATGTTCAGTGCCTGGTTTCTTTGTTATGCAGACCCGCACAACATATTCAAGGTCACCTGTTCGAAGACTGGCTATGGTACGAAATTGACTGATATTTTCAAACGAGTGTAAGGAGGTTGTTGCGAGGGAGTGCATGATGTAAAAAAGTCGAAGGCATTGAACATTCACCTTGCATGTGAAGACCTCGTTCTTTTACTTTCTTCTTTCTTTGTTTCTTTTCTTTCTACCACATAATTTAATATTAATAATAATAATAATAATAATAATAATAATAATAATATACACGCATGACTCGATAATTGCGCCGTTTGTGCGATACGGAAAAGGTTCAAATCAAATTCTGACGGTGGTGACTGGTAGCGAGAAATGCAGACGAGGTTATAGTGGCGCTCAGGGATGGATCGTATTTTCCTCTCAGCGATTTTTAACAAACCGACGTGACATGTTAGTTTTCCTATTTAGTTTTGCTCATTGACTTCTGTTACACTGATGTTACTGCGGAATGCAAGAGAAAGTTAAAATATCTTCTTAGAGCTCGCGGACGGGCGATGTAAGTTCGTCCGAGACGTTGGTATCTGCCCACGAGTCCACACGGAGTCCAAACAATTACGTCGATTACATTTTATATTGTCTGTGGTTCTACAGCCCTTGACGGGCCTTGACCTCTTCCCATATGGGAGGTTACTTGATCTGTTTAGACGTTTGATAGGACTTTTTGGACGAGTGATCAGCCCGTCGCAAGGTTTCTACATTCACAGGACAACACAGCATAGGAAGACGCGGACAAACATGCCGTGAGTGGGATTCGAACCCACGGTCACAGTGTCCAAGTGAACGAGGTCCTCGCCGCCACTGTGACCGGTTTAAGAACATTATCAAAAGAAAATATAAACAAATGCTAACTTAGTCGAATACATAAACGAGACCGAGAAAGTGAAATACCAGTTTTTCATAAACGCAACTTGACTGCTCGTTGTATGTGTTCGACTGCCAGATGGTGATGCTGCGAGGATGTGCCTCGTCACTGATACGAGTGGCTGGAGATTCAGGTTAAACCTAGGAAGGAGAAAATTGCACAATGACTAGCTTCATAATTTGTACTGTCATCGAATATTATTTTGGTGATCAAATCAAAGAGGATGAACCGGGGTGGAAAAGACCGAGACGTAGCTGGGAAGGTAATATTAAAATGGATTGTATTCGTGGGTCTGAGGATAGGGGCGGGTGGCGTGTTGTATGAATACTGTAATGAACCGACAGGCTCCATAAAATACGGTAAAAATTGTTACTAGCTTCTCGAGTTGGACTTTGCTCATGGATTTAAGTGAATCTGTGAATCTACTCGCTTACGTGAGACAAGGGTGTCGTCGAAATGCGGAATAGATAATAATCATAGGTGTATGAAGTGCTGGGGAATTTTGTTTTTCATTCGCTGAAGGTTATGCAAAGTAAATCGAAAGTTTCCTGGCAGGCTTTCCCAATAGTGCCTTCTCGGGAAAACATTGTGTCATTGCAAACTCCATCTATTAAGCAATATTACACAATCATTCGTTTTAATTTCTTATGAACATCCTTCTCATGCCCATGTTATTCCCTTGCTACTTTTCGTCTATCCTTTTACTCCTATTTTCATTCTCGTCTTTCCCTTTTATTCTACATATCTTCTCCTATTTCGTCATCTTAATGACCTTATCAAATAGTTTCCTTCACTTCATTCTTAATATTTTTCTCGTTTTAATATTCTAATTTTTGCCATTTTTAATTTTTTACATATTTACCCCTTATTATCCTGTGTTATTTTCCTTTTCTTCAATTTTATTAATTGAAGGCATATTAAACAACTGAGCTTCAAGTTATAAACACTTTAAATGTACCCAGGTTTTGTGTTAGCATTTTTCCGTTCCAGATGCAATGGTTGTGCT